GGGGGGACTGAAGGGGCTGATGACGTCACGTTTCGCGCCGGCGGGGTCTGGAAATGCCCCGGAATGACCGAGGACGGGTGACAGCAACATGTAGGTGGCGATCTGCACCACAGCGCCTGTGTACACCATAGTGCACGCGTGCACCACAGCGCCTGTGTACACCACACCGCTGATGTACTCCACAGCAATCGCGTGCAACACAGCGCCAATGTGTGCCACAGTGCCTGCGGGCACCACAACGCTCGCGTGCACCACAGCGCCTGTTAAACCACATGAGCGGTGTGCAACACAGCACCAGCGTACACCACAATACCCGCGTACACCACAGCGCCTGTGTACACCACGGCGCCTGTGTGCAACACAGCAACCGTGTGCAACACAGCATCACTGCTGCATATATATATATATATATATATGTGTGTAAAAGGATTCCTTATGACAAACTAGAGCGCCTGTGGACTCCACAGAAACATTTGTGTTATATAAGAACTGGAGCGGAATTCCTATGGAAAGAGGAGCGCCGCTGGAATCTACGAGTCCTCCCGAGCCCGTCCGCATCATCTTAACTCTTCCCATCTGCGTCCAGGAGCCTCGAGCAAAATTGGCCGTCCGAGAACCAAGTGGATTGATTCAATGGACCATTCTGCGGTGCACGCTGAGACGCGCACGTAGCGCAGACCCAGACGACAGGGGGGGCAGGGTGAAGGAGGAGGAAAGGGAGGAGGAGGAGGAGGTGGAGGTGGCGGAGGAGGAAGGAGGGAAGAAAGTCGCATTCGATTATCAGCACTTCCCTGGCGTGGCGTTCAGCTATCCGCAGCAGATCCTCACCTACATTCTCCTTCTACCTGTCCTGTGCACGCAGTCATTGTGGTGTACACCAACGCTGCGTTGCACGCGGATGCTGTGGTGTAGACAGGCGCTGTGGTGTGCACAGGCGCTGCGGTGCACGCAAGCACTGCGGTGTACACAGGCGCTGTGTTGCACATGGTTGCTGCGGTGTACACATTCGCTGTGGTGAACACCCGCGCTTTGGTGCACGCAAGCATTGTGGTGTGCATAGGCGCTGCGTTGCACACAGCTGTTGCGGTGTACGCAGGCGCACGCTGTGGTGCACGCGCGCATTGTGGTGTACACAGGCGCTGTTGGGTAGATCGCCACCTAAATGCTACTCGCGTCCTCGTCGTCTCACGTCGCTCGTCGCTCGTCGCTCATCGTCGTCGTGCGCGCGGGCGCGGCTGTGGTGCGGGAGCCGCACGGCGGGGGGGGGCGTTACGTCATACCCACCCGCCCCCCTCCCACCCCCCATGACGCCCGTCATCGCCGAAAATCCGCCGGCCCCCTTGTGGGGCCACCAGGCTGTAGGACGAAGGTTCGCAGTTTCCTGTACCAGTTTCAGCTTCCAGTTTCCACTGTTACAGTTCTGCTTCTTGCTGATTACTGTTCCTTGTTGACTTCTTGCTGCTTACTGTTCCTAGTTGATGGGCCGCGCGAGTGGGGGAAGCCAAAAACATGCATTTTTACTACGCCCTGAACGTGTTGTCTGAATTGCTGGGGTGGGTAAATACTGACACCCCTCACGCAGATCGGCGGGGTCAGGGTCCAAAAACACATGGGATTTGCCACATTTCAAAACTCAGTGGCACTCCTCACGCAAATCGGCGGGGTCAGGGTCCAAAAGCACAAAGGATTTGCTACCTTTCTGAAATTCGGTGGCACCCCTCACGCAGATCGGCAGGGTCAGGGTCCAAAAGCATAAGGGATTTGCTACATGTCTGAAATCCGGCGGCACCTCTCACGCAGATCGGCAGGGTCAGGGTCCAAAAACATAAGGGATTTGCGACATTTCTGAAATTCGGCGGCACCCCTCACGCAGATCCGCAGGGTCAGGGTCCAAAAACACAGGAGATTTGCGACATTTCTGAAATTCGGCGGCACCCCTCACGCAGATCCGCAGGATCAGGGTCGAAAACCAAACAAGTCCCGACACTGCTTCACGGCGGCGCCCAGACCTCATGATTTAGCTTTCGCATCTCCCATTATCCGAGACGGGGGGCTGGCGGCATGGGGCGAAGTCCTTACGGATAAACGCCCTCCTTATAGATGTAGGATGTTCTAGTTCCATTGATGTAATGGGCACCAGCTCACCACGACAGAATGTGACTTTCATAATTCCCGTTGGGTGCGCTGCGGCACGTGCAAAAATACATCGCGCTCCCAAGAGGCCACAACCCCTCCCAAACAGCAACCCTTAGGTCGGGCATGTCCTCCTGCAAGGGGATTTTAGACGAAACATGAAACATACCCAACAAATGTTGAACCATACTCAAAAAAAACTCAGAAATCGTCCCCATAATCATCTTTTTAACTATTTGTAAATATTCCTCCTGTCGAGGGACAGGCCCGACTTATGACTACGCGTCGGCGCTCCAGAGGCCACAGCCCTCCGGAAACTGCGCCACGCTCGCGCTCTCCCCAACAACAGCAGCCCCACCCACTGGAGCATACCAGGCTCCGCGCCCCCGAGAGGCCACCGCAATGCGCGCCCTCGACGCCGCAGCGTTCCTGTGGTACAGCATCCCGCGCTGGAGCTCCCCCGAGGCGACAAACCCCTGGTAAATCTCGGACCGGGCGAAAGGGGGGGATAGCAAAGGGGGTTTGAGAATCAACTCACGGCGCCTCCTGGCGCCGGAGGCGGCGATGTATCGAGGAGTGGGCCCCTCGGTGGGGCCGAAACCAGCTGCATGCAGCAGATTTCGTAACCCCCCCTTTCCCAATCCCCCCCTATCGTCCGGCCCGAAAATCACACCAGGTTTAGGCCGGCAGTCAAAGAAAATGCAGAAAGACTCCACGACAGTCAAACACATCGTCCCCATACATTTTTTTACAATTTTTGAGCATTCCTCCTGTAGAGGGACATGCCCGACTTCACCCCAGATCCGCGCTCCCGAGGCCACAATCAAAAGTACCTCTGTTAAGTCTGCGTCTTCACGGGAGCGGCCAAGAGGGGGGTGTCCAAGAGGGGGGGGTGCAAATCATGACCGGCGGCATGTGCGCGGCCCAGCGGGGGGGCCAGGGACGTAATGAAATAAGAAGAGGCGCCATGAAATCTGGGGAAATTTCATGGCCCCCGCCATGATATTCCCCCCCCCCCAGTCATCACCCCCCTCTTTTCCGCCCCCGATCTTCTGAGCCACAATCCCCTTGGACAGGACTGCGCGCCGGCGCTCCCGCAGGCAGACTCACTTCTGAGGTATGCTGGGGTCGCGCTCGCCGAGCCACAGTCCCTCGTGGGTCACATCAGGCTCGCGCTCCCAAGGCCGCACCCCCCTCTAACTTACGGTGGAGGTCAGTGCACAAGAGACCTCCCATAAGAAACTCAACCCTGAGACCCGAGGACGTCCATGGATTTTTGGTGTGGGAGCGCCACGCTCTCCACAGCAAAGCCATCGAAGGCCAAGAAGCCCAGGGCACCCTGGAGGCAAGCAGGGTGTTTCTTGGCATGGGTCTCCACTGTACTGCAGAACTGCGCAACCGACCAACCAGCAAATTGAGCAGGGACCGACCGTCCCGGCAGTCCTATAGGCCCACCACGACATGTTCTTAGAACAATGTTCTAATAACAAAAAGACTGTCCTTGGAACATAAACCCCATGTATTCGGACAAGACAGTCTCGGCAGACATGTTCTAAGAACATGTCGTGCAGACCACACGAGGTTATTAGAACACTATTTGGTAGGCCTATCGGCGAGCTAGGACGCTTCGCCACTGCTTGAGCAAACAGCCCAAATCGGGCGTCAAACAACTGAGCATCGTTTAACCGATCCCCACCCCCACCAGCGTGGGCTGGGCCCCACTGGCCGGTGTAACCCCCTGGATGGGGATATGAGCTGCTCTCTTCGGGTTTCGGGGGGCATGTCCCCGATTGAGGTGGTGAGACGGTGGGGCTCGAGATGTGGATGGGGATGGGGATAAGGATCGGTTAAAAGATACTGAACAACTGGCCGTCGCTCGGACGTCCATTTCCCGTGCATGTGTTCGGCTTCGTGCGCGTTTTTTGTTTGGCTCAATGGTCCAGGATGGTCCTCGATGGTTCTCGCCGAGAAAAAATGCACACGTCCGAGCGATGCCAAGACAGCAGCGACCAGCCGGCCGAGCCGACAGCGGGCCGACCGACAAAAGCCAGAGCAGCCAGCCGATCGCTCGAGCGTGGCCGCGCACGACGTCTGGGGGGGAGGGCAGCGGCAGAGGGCCCACCCTTCACACACACACACACACTTGCAAGGGCATGCGACAGATATGCACATACATGCACATACACTTACACATTCACTGGCCCAGCATTATATCTAAGTCTCAATGCACGTGGATGGGAAGAGAGAGAGGGAAAGAGACAGAGAGAGAGGGGGGACAGATAGAGGGAGAGAGCGAGGGAGAGATAGAGACTGACTGGCCGACAGGCAGACATTTAGACGGACAGAGAGACAGAGGCAGAGAGAGAGAGAGAGGAAGACAGGGAAAGACAGAGAGAGAGAGAGAGAGAGAACGGGGGTCTCGATGACCCGTTCCGCTGCGAGGTGAACCTTTTGTGCACATCCCCTGCTCCTCCCGCACTCGGGGGACGTAGTTGAAGTTCTCTGGGGAGAGGTCGACGAATAGCTTGCCGTCAAACTCCACCTTGAGGAAGAAGGAGAGGAAGGGAGGGATGAAGGGAGGGGCGGAGAAGAAGCCCCGAACAACACCCTGCCGCTAAAGGCCACCTTCACTGAGTCTCGGATCCTCCCGTGGCCCTTCACGACGCCGATCTCGCCACCGCTGATGTCGTCTTCCTCGCAGAATGGGGGGCGTGAAAGGGAGTATAATACAGAGAAAGGAGAATGAACACGAGAAGGAGCAAGAACAGGAGGACAATCTCTCCTGTTCCTGCTCCTGGCAAGTACCTCTTGGTCGAGTCCTCGGTCATGCCCTCAGGCTGGTACCTGACGAGGTCGCCAGAAATGACGCCACCGGGCAGGAACATCAGAGGACGACTCGTCAGCAGGAACATCATCATCGACCAGTTCAGCGTAACGAATACTATCTGGACCGCCCAGTACGCCCAGGCGGCGCTGTACTGCCCGTAGAGCGTGCCGAGGCACCAGTAGCCGCAGGCCTCTAGCAAGTTCTGCGTTCCGAAGAAGCCGCACTTGAACATGCAGTTGGTCAGCGGCTTCCACCTCTCGAGAAAAAGCACGCGGCATAAACGTGCACTCTCGCAGGTCCACCCGGATGTCTCGTCGGGGCGGACGACAGATGCGGATAGACCAGGGGCGGGCGTTATACGCACTCGCCCAGGAGCCTCGTGGAAGACACGGGCAATCGGACGGCGGCTCTGGATACATGTGTACTAGAAAACAGACAACGGCATGAACAAACACTTTTGGCGCTGCGCGCGGATTTCTCGGATCTACGCTGGACCCCCCTCCCTGGCGCGCGGAGCGCGCCAGGGGGGGCGCCGGAGGCGCCGTCAGGAGGGTCCCAGCGCAGTTCCAAGAAGAAATCCGCTCGGAGCGCCAAAAAGTTTATGCTTATGGCAGTTATTATTATTATTATTATTATTATTATTATTATTATTATTGTTGTTATTATTATTATTACTAGTATTACTACTATTACTAGCATTATTAGTATTATTATCATTATTATTATTACCATTATTATTATTATCATCATCACCATCATTATTATTATTATTATTCGATGTGTGGCGCTCCCCTGAGCTGTTCGCCCCTATCGTCGCCTCTGATCTTGGGTCGGCACCGCTGGACTCCCCCCCTGCCGGCGACGCCGCCGAGGGGGGAGGGGCGGGGGGGGGGCGGGGGGCGCCGACCCAAGGGATCCGCGCGGGCCCCCGAGAGGAGAGAGTATACATGCCCGGAGGAGGAGGAGGAGGAGGAGGAGGAGGAGGAGGAGGAAGAGGAGGAGGAGGAGGAGGAGGAGGAGGAGGAGGAGGAGGAGGAGGGGGAGGAGGAGGAGGGGGAGGAGGAAGAGATACGCCCGCGCCGCTCTTGTGGCCCCTCGACGCCTCCTCTCGGACTCGCTCCAGATCTCGCGCACCCTCCGGCTCCTGCTCGGGGGTGGGCCAAGCGTGCTCCCGAGGCCCTGGGCGCCCCCAGCTCTCAGCGCGCCGCGCGGGGGCCCCTCTCAGGGGGCACCCTTGGCCTCGTGAGGAGCGCCGTGGGCGCCGCGGGGGCCTCCCTGGAGATCCTGGGGACGCCTGGCCGGGAGCCGGCCAGAAGCCGACGTCAGTGCAGAGCCTGGACGCCGGAGGGCCTGGCAGCGGGCGCCCTCCCCGTCCCGAGGGGTCGACGGGGAGCACATTTGGCCACACCTGACCTCTCTGCAATCTGCTCGTTGCTCCCCGGACCCGCGAGGTCGTGCCCGTTGGAGGACTTGAGCTCGTCCTCGGCCCAGTCCCCGGGGAACAGTGAGACAAGGAGGAGGAGGAGGAGGAGGAGGAGGAGGAGGAGCAATAAGGAAGGAAGGAGATAGGCAGGGGGAGGGAGGAGAAGGAGAATTTCTCAAGAGGCTCTCAGGGATTCTGAATGGTTGCAGTGGGCTATGGGGTGGTTTCCTGGGGGGAAGAAGAAGACGAACAAGAAAACGAAGGGGAGGCGATGGGGGAGGGGAGGAGGCCACCGCCGCCTCCTGCACGCCGCCGCGCGGGAGGCCGCGGCGGCATCGCAGGCGACGGCGACGGCGACGTCGGAGGACAACGGCGGCAAACGACACGGACGGGGGAGGCCACAGCGACGCAGCTTGCCCCACCCCAGTCAGCAGACAGGGTGCGGGACCCAGGAGCACCACTCCAGTCGAGCAGCTAAGCGAACGCCAGGCACTCTCGCGTGCAGAGGGGAAGCCACGGAAGGCGCGCGCGGTGCGAGGCGGGATGCGCCCGCATCCACCGCCCGGGGAGCCGGTGCCCAGGAGGCCCCAGGGGCCCGCGGGCACGCCAATGCTTTGGCCCCCCCCGGGGGGGTGGGGCCCCGGCACAGGGGAGGCCAGGCCACGGGAGGCCTCCCACAAGACAGACCCCAACCCTGAGGCACCAGGACGTCCAGTGGGTTCTGGTGCGGGAGCGTCGCGCCCTCCACGGCAAAACCATCGGCACCCAGGAAACCCAGGGCACCCTGGAGGCAAGCAGGGTGCTTCTCGGCATGGGCCTCCGCTGCACGTCCATGGCCGTGCCAACCGCCTCCCGAGGGTCCAGCAAGACCCCCCTCCCGCAGGCGGGGGACCTGGACGGATCCCGCGCCTCGAGGCGGGCTGGAGGCGGGGGGAGGGCCGCCGTGGGCCGCTGGCAGCATGGAGGAGGAGGAGGAGGAGGAGGAGGAGGAGGAGGAGGAGGAGGAGGAGGAGGAGGAGGAGGAGGAGGAGGAGGAGGAGGAGGAGGAGGAGGAGGAGGAGGAGGGAGGAGGGCCACTCTCAACCGCCGCTGTGGCCCCGGCGGCTCTGCGCAGAAGGGTGCCCCCTGCCCAGGGAGCGGCGGCCTGCCCAGGGGCGAAGGCAGAGGGGGGCGGGCGCTGCGAGGAGGCTCAGGAGGCCTCTGGCAGCATGACCAGCCTTCTGAGCCTCCTCCGAAGCCACAGAGGGCTTCGGAGGAGAGCCAGAGGGGCTCCGAGAAGCCCCAGGGGCCCTTCCGAGAACGCCCGCACGCTATGACTTCGCCCCTCGGCGCGCCGCCGCAAGGACAACCTCAGCTGCGCTGCGTCGTTTCTGTTTGGCGGCGCAGGATCAGCCGGCATCGATCTGGAAATCAGCTCGGATCCGACGAACCGGAACGTGCGTTGCATCGCTGCATCGGCACGGAGCTGGTATCAAGTCTGACCGGTACGGCAGCACGCGGAGGTGTAAAGCTCTCGAGCCGTCTTGGGACGGGGCGTTCCCGATGGCGGGTAAGCTCATGCTGCACCTCCCTTCGTTCCTCGGCGGATCATAGATGGGGCCCTGAGGGATGGGCCCCAATGGCAGGAAGGGATCCGAGGCTGAATTTGCCTTGCTTAAGGCTTCTCGTCCTCAGGGCCCCACCTTTGAAACGCCGAGTCCCCTGCATTAGGAGGCAACTCCTGGCAGGTGTTCGTCAGAACGGATAAGGGCCACAATGAGGCCCCATGAAAGGGCCGCCGAGTCGGCTTGGGCCGAACGAGGCCTGGGATGTAGCGGGATTAAGCGGGAGGCGGGATTAGGCCCGCGAGGCTCAGCCGGACTGAACGGGATGGAGCCAGATTGGGCAAATTTTCGCCCAAAGACACCAGCTTGGACGCCCAAAGATGGGTACGGGAGAAATGGGTACTGTGCCCAACAGCAAAGGCTGTCCAAAACCAACAGCGGCCGCTGCTGGGCAGGCGGCATTCTGTCCCAAATGCACACCGCCCGCGGCGACACCGACAGCGAGTCCAGCTCAAAATGAACACGAACTGCTGTCGGTCTTTGTGCCCATTCTTCCCGTCCCCATTCCGAGCGTCCCCATTTGTTTGTTTTTTCGTTTTTTTCTCTTGCTTTCTTTCTTTAAAACAAATTTGTACACTTCGCGATGTGTGCGTGTCATCCTTGCGCAGGATCCATAATTACTAATCTTCTCTGATCGTTCCAATTCTAATGGATGATCCCCGAAGGGAACCCATTTCGAGCGTCCCCACTTGGAGCCAGACTGTCAAGTTCTCTCGGCTACACGCAAGAGTGACCCTGGGACCCAGGCATCGCGTTCGGCGATCGGGGGGACCACGCCGAGCCCGCAGCCAGAGGCCACTCCGGCGAAGGGTCCCTCCTGCGTGCAGTCGGGCACACCCGCGCCGAGCAGCACTCTCTCACCTCCCGCCCCGGCCCGCCTCGCCGACGTGCCCGTTCGAGCCGCCGCTGCCCGCCGGCGGCCCGCCCGGGGCGTGGCCGTTCGAGCCGTGGTGCCGCCTCCGGAGCCTCGCGGGGGCCTCCGCGGCGTCCCGCTCGGAGCGGTCGGCGTCCGCGTCGGAGCCCACGACCAGCTGCGCGCTCTCCAGCATGCTGCCGAACCTCGGCGGCGCGCTGAGGCGAGGGGGCTCGCCGGGGCTCCGCGACCCCCGCCGACAGCCCCGCATCGACCCCCGTCGCGGGCAGCCACCGCGCGCCGAAGGCGCTGCGACCCCCGTCGCAGCGCGACGACGAGGCGAGGTTGACCCCCGTCGGGGGGGCACACGTCGTTCACTTCTAATCGCGCTCATTTCTAAAGAGTGCCCCAAAACGGGCCAAAAAGGTTCCAAAGGCTCCCAGAACGGTCGAAGAGAGCTACGAATCGACGAAAGATCACCCCAAAACGCCGAAGATTGCCTCCTCACGCTCCAGAAGTCCCCAAGACGTTTGAAACAATATTACGAGGCGCCCCAAAGAGGCCCTCCAGAAGCAAACATCGTCCCATTCCATAGGGAAAACGTACATTTCCAGCACATTCGCCCATTCGGCTTCCACGCAGCGCAAAACGGCCCAAGAAGCCTCCAAGAACGACCCTCGCCAGCCCAAGAGTCTCCCAAAAAGGCTCCAAGACGGCTTCCGGGCGATCCACGAAGACCCCAGAAACCATAGCAACGGCCCAGGAAAACCGCAGGACGGTCCCAAGAGGGCTCCAAAACAGGCCAAGAGGGCTCCCAAACATTCCCAGCACATTCGCTTCTTGGGCTTCCACGAGGCCCACAACGGCCCAGAAAACCTCCAAGATCGACCCCTGGCACACCCAAGAGACTCTCCAAAAGGCTCCACGACGGCCTCCGGGCGCCCCACAAAGGCCCCAGAAACCATAGCAACGGCCCGGGGGAACGGCAGGACGGTCCTAAGACGGATCCAAGACGTGTCTAGAGGGGCCTCGCAGGCTGTCCGGACAGGCCACGCGGGGGACGATTGCTGCCGCCCCAAGGGGCCGGCGGTGTGGCGTAAGTCAATGATCAATCGAAGAACTTTCGAATACTTAGAAATGAACAACGTGTACCTCCCCAGGCTGATTCAGAAACCCAGATTATTTGGTGTGTGTGTGTGTCATGTGGTGGAGAAGCTACGAGGCGGACGCCCAGAGCGGCAACGAGGCGGCAACGGGCGGCGAAGCGGCGAAGCCTAGCGGCCAAGAGGCGGCCACGGGCGGCGACGCGGCGAAACCTCGGCGGACACCCCGAGAGAGGGCGACGAGGCGGCCACGAGGAGGCAAAGAGCGGCGGCACGGCGAAGTCTCGGCGGACACCCCAGGTGGGCGGCAACGAGGCGGTCACGAGGCGGCGACGCGGCGAAACCTCGGCGGACCCATCCAAGTTCTTCCTGGCACAGGCAGGAGCCTCTGATTGCAAGCGCTGTTCGGGGAACAAAAACACACACAAAAAAAAAAGCTTCAGAGGTCGGCGCTGACTCCTGCGATCGGCGCTTGATCCCCCCTCCCTGGCACTCCCTGGCGCACGGGACGCGCCAGGGGCAGCGGCAGAGGCGCCCCCGAGGAGCTGCGGCGCCGACCCAGGAGACCCGCGCGGAACCTCGGAGGCTTCTGCTCCTGCCCTCTTGTTGCTCCTTGATCTGAGGCTCATCAGCGGGCGGGGGGGCTTCTGAGGGGCAGCCACCGCCGCCGTCGAGGGCCACCCCCTGCCTCCCTTCCCCGCCCCGCGTGCGGCCAGGAGCCGGGAGGCGAGCGGCGGCCGGAAGATCTCGCTGGCGTGCTTCTCCTCGAAGGCCGCGGTGAGCTCTTGCCTCTTGCGGTGCTTCAGCTCCCGGAAGTGCCTCGCCCAGTCTGGCCGGATCTTCACCGTGAGGAGGTCCGTGGCGACAGTGTAAGCCTCGTGGCTCCTCCCCCGCTCCTCCTGACCATCCTCAACGTTCGCGTTCCTCCTCCTCGACCTCTCATATGTGAATGCGTCATTTCATACATGGAGAGAGAGAGAGAGAGACAGAGAGACAGAAAAGAAGAGAGAAAGAGAAAGAGAGAGAGAGAGAGAAAGAGAAAGAGATACACACACATCGACTAGAACAAAACATGTTTCGCGCGCGCGTTGGTTATACTTCCTGTGGTCCACGGTGTGCTACAATATTTCTGCTTATCGAACTCTGCGCGACAAACAGATAACGCGCCTGCATGTGATTAGTTATTAAAACTCGGCGCAGGCGCATGTAGCGGGGCACGCCGTATAATCTTGCAGGAAGCGAAACTTCTATGTGTCTGGTACGACCGCGCCTAGCAGAAGCTCTCCAGAACATGTGTGGAGGGGGAGGCTTTACAACGTGTAAAAGCAACTTCATCCCAAACCCAACCAAAACCCAACCGAGACCCAACCAGAATGCGGGCAAAACATGTGTATTTTGAGCACCACTTACACGGGTTTTGGCCGCATTTCCAACCAGAACCAACCACGAATCAACCACGGCCATTCGGCTGGTTGGCGGCTGGTTGGCGGCTGGTTGGCTGCCAACCAGCCAACCAGCCAACCAGCCAGCCAGCCAACCAGCCAACCAGCCAACCACCCAGCCAGCCGACCAAACGGCCAGCCAGCCTGCCTGCCAGCCTCCCAGCCAGCCAGCCAACCAGCCAGCCAGCCCGCCGGCCAGCCAGCCGACCAGCCAGCCAGCCAGCCAGCCAGCCAGCCAGCCAGCCAGCCAGCCAGCCAGCCAGCCAGCCAGCCAGCCAACCCGCCGCCGCCGTCGCCGTCGTCGTCCCGTCGTCGTCGTCGTCGTCTCGTCGTCGCGTCGTCGTCGTCGTCGTCGTTGTCGTCGGCGTCGTCGTCGCCGTCGTCGCCGTCGTCGTCGCCGTCGTCGCCCCGCCGCCACAGGCCAGACTGACAGTCCCAGCCTGCCACCAAAATTCAACCAGAGCGGCCAGCCAACCAGGGCCCAGCTAGCCAACCATCCAGCCAGCCAAGCCGCCGGCCAGCCAGCCGACCAGCCAGCCAGCCAGCCAGCCTGCCAGCAAGCCCGCCAGCCAGCCAGCCAGCCTGCCAGCCAGCCAGCCCGCCAGCCCGCCGGCCTGCCAGCCAGTCAGCCGTGGTCATCGTCGTCGTCGTCGTCGTCGTCGTCGTCGGCGTCGGCGTCGTCGTCGTCGTCGTCGTCGTCGTCGTCGCCGCCGCCGCCAGCCG